TCTTACTAGATACCTTAAAAGAGGATAATTCATCCTCATCCTCTAAGAAAGAAGGAGAATTTTTTAGCATCCTAAACAGGATTGCAAAGAAGGATGTGATTGTGACAACTATCTCACAAGAGATCTTTTAAGGTTAAATCTTAATGTCTTAACCAAAAAAAAATCACTTATCTTAGATCCGATTGACAAAATAAAAGATTCTAATAAAAGAAGAATGACTTAAGAAACATGCATCTAAATCAATAGAGACTAAATAGCCATGTGTGATGTTTAACATTAAAATTTATAGGATGTGTAGATTGAAAAGCTATATGGTAAAGTTGAAAAAACATCTAAAATGGATGGATCCGTTATAAAGTGTAGACTCGGTGACTCCTAATAAGAAATTTTCAAAGACGTTATATCTTTAATCTCTTACTCTTACTAGAACCAAAGCATGCGTATTTAGTCATATTCTTGTCAAAAGTTTTAACCCTACTTGAATCATTTCTAAGTGCAAATATTTATTATATTTTTGTTTATGAAACTCAATTAGTCTATGGAAACATATCATATCTCTTTTTTAGAGAAATTATTTCTTCTACTATTTTTATTGGATAGTCAGATAAAAAATTAAATTTCTTTTGTATACCTTTTGTATAAAGGTATTCGGTAGCTTTCACTCTTTTAACTGTCTATTAAAGTTTTCTACTACTATGGTTTTTGTTAGAAATGAAAGTGCTAGCCATTGAAGGTTATTAGAAAGAAGATCTGAATAATCAAAACATAATGGGTTTTAAGGATTACAGTCAAACAGTTTATAACCTAAAAACGTCTTAACCTAAGCTTTAACTAGGACTTAACACATGACTAGGTTTTTACCACTTTCACCTCTTAACCTGCTAATTCAAGCAGTCTAAATCATCATTTAAATTTCATTATCTCCACCAAAACCTAAAGGCTCTTACGCCAAAACTTACCAGACCGATTTAATAGAAATAAAAAAAAAATGAAGAAAAGTAAAAGTAATTAACAAAAAAATGTGAAAGAAACAATAAAGATGAAGATTAAACTCACATATATTATAGAAGTACCTTCAAGAGGATGGTTACAGAAGAACGGTTACACACTCACATACACTCTAATTTACAAACATCTTACGAAAAAGAAATACACTCCAAATTTTTTATGCTAAACAACTAAAATGAACTGCCTTATATAAAGAAGGGCTTACACCAAGGGAAAAAAAATTTTAACGATGGACATCATAAAGTTAAGGAGCATAATACAACTTTTACAAGCGGTTGAATAAAAACAAAAATAAAAAGTAAAGTAGAGCTGGTGGCCTATAGTAGTAGGATGAAGAGCCCAACATGTGACCAAAGAAACTAAAGTGGACAAGGTGGTAGACATTTTTCAAGAAAGAAGGGCTTGAGTAGGCCGAAAGCATTATAGCAGACAACTTTCTAAAAATAATGGGAACTGATTATCTAAAAGATCTCAAATGAGCACTGAAGGTGTCGATCATATCTACATCTTCATCTGATCCTTCATATGGGTCCTGCGAGTCTTGAAAAAAAGACTAATTAGCTTCAAGATTATGTTCATTTAAAACTTCCCATAGAGATTGTTTAATCTCTTCTTTAAAAGCAGATGACAAAAGCTCTCTGAGAAGTGATGTAGTTGAAGATTTAGGGGCTTCAGGACGGTTTTGATTAAGACGAGGGAATTTTCCGTCTTCAAAAAACGTACTATGCCCACCACTTGATTAGATGTCTTTTATAGAGGAATAAGAGGTCTAGAGATATCACCCCTGCATGCATTAGTATTTTCAATAATATAATTCCATCTGATGATCTAGGGAACCTGATACAAAGAGACAAAAGAGATTCAGCTGACAATATCATCTTTTTTAAGATGCTTGACTATAAATTCTTTGAAGTAGAAATTCACAAAAAATAACACAGATTGGAAAGAGTCCTCAACAAGAAGATCAATTTTTGAACCAAGTATGGAAGGATTCTAAACTTGATTCAAGCTGGACGAAAGAAACCAGCTATGCTTAAGTGATTTATTTTCACAAATCACAAAATTCTCCCAAGCTTCAATCTAATCAAAGTATGAAAATCCTTTAAGAGAATAAACATACGCTTTGAGAAACCTTTCTGCATGAAGATCAATTCTCCAGTCGAAAGAAGAAAAAATCTTAACAATAGTGAGCTTAGAATAAACTCCATCATCTCTGTTCCTCTTTGGACTAAAGACAATGCCAGAGTTAATCTCAATTAGAATAGCCTGAAAGTAGTAGTATTTTTTTCTGCTTAGATTGGGGGAAAGATGCTGATCAAGCATGATGTTAGCAACCTGATAAGGTGCCATATCTTTAACATTATCTTCTAGTGGACATAACTGAATTAGTGGTCCTTCAACAAAAGAATATTGAACCTTTCTCAAATTATTATGAGGCAAGCCTAACTCATAAACTGCTCGAGGAAGTTTGGATTGTCATTAGTTAAGGTTTTTCTAGAGGACGATCCTCTTTCCTTTTTAGGATTAGGGGATCGCTTGAATACAGGAGATGTTTGAACCAATTTTAACATTCGATCCCTACAAGAATTCTTTGGTTAGAAAATCAGATAATGAATTTGAATCTTCTTTAATATGCTCAATGTCAATGTCAAAGACAGAAAGAATAACCTGTTGTCTAGCGAATATCTATTAAGATACAATATTTTTTACATCCTTAAATTAGACATCTTTAGCAGATATGCAGTTAATTATCAATCAAAATTTCTGATTGATTAAATCACTTTCAAATTTAATGACACATGGGACCATAAAAAAAATCTCATTTTTAATGTTTGAGTAATTTTGTTGGAAAGAGTTTCATATTCCCAATGTAAATCTAGCTAACTTATCTATATCCCTTGAATTTTTTGTTTAAGAATCCCACCATATTATCTTAGAAGCATCAATTTTGACAATTTTAAAGGCATTAGGATTAAAGGGAGCTCTTTAACCCTTGCTTTGATTTTTTGGACTGCACATATGTGCTCATCAGTCCGAGACATGATTTTTCCTACAAGCTAATTCAATTCTTTGTAGAATTCACTTACGTTATTTAAACTTCCAAGAAACCTTTACAATTGCTTCTTATCTTTGATTTCTTTTGGAAATTTATCCACAGATTATATAGCTCAATCAATAGAGACAACTAGACTTTCAAAGATATTAAACGCTAAAAACCTTATATTAGGTTGAAAAGGCTGTCTTTTTATTTTATAACCTGTCCTTCTGTGTTTGCTTGAATTTCTTATTTTTTCACAATTGATCCTTTTGCATTTGCTTCAATTTCTTAGTCTTTTTTTCTTCATAATTGGTTAGTCTGCAAGAGATTAACATGGTTAGGTTTTTATTTGTTAGTGTTCTTTTTTTTTTTTTTTGTATTCTTTTTATTATTGGTATTTTTTTAATGCTTTCCATTTAGAATAATTACTCAGCTCAAGTTCTGGTTTTCTTTTATTTTCTAATTCATAATTGTTTAACTGAGAATAAGAAAGCTGATGACTATATAAAAATATAATAAATTACTTCAAACTAAAATGTTAATTATACTTATTTTGACCAAAAATCTTCGAAAAGTTTATGGAGACTGGTCATATATGACATATAATTCTTCCAACCAATGCTTGCTACATTTCTTCCACCTCAAAGGTTAGAGAGCTGAGACACACAGTGCATCTTCTGTGTTACGAGTCCAATACCAATTGGATGGCAACCTAAGTTCAGTTAACAAAGAGACCTGATTAAATCCCGAAGTTTGTTCAGAGACTATTGGCATTGAATGATTTGTTCATGCTATTTCTACTTTGACCAATAGTTCAAGGGCTTCGCGCATTTTACCAAAAAAAAAAAAGATTATGTAAGAATATTATATTACTATTATTTGCTAAAAATGAGCCAACTCAACTTCACAATTCAGAAAACAACTCACAAAAAACATAAGAAAACCAAAAACCATGTACATGTCTCCCATCATCACTGCCATGAACAAGAACAATAAAACAGTTGCACCCATATCCAACATTAATCTATTCAAAGTTGATGATGAAAAAGAAAAAAATTAAAAACAGAAAGTACAAAGATCAATATTTAAAAGCCAATTTCAAATTTGCCCACTACAAAGATGATGACTAATTGTAAGATGGAAACAACTGAAATAAAAGCATGAAATATTTGCCCCATCAGTATAACAAGCAAAAGAAAGGGCGGCTGCACTCCAAGAGTATTAGGGTTTTGGGTGTCATATATACATACACACTTAAAATTAAATGGCCAGCCAAGCCCAGCCCAATGAGCAAAATGCTAAACCCAGGCCTGCCCAACATCACCCAAACTAAAAGACCTCGCCCTTGCCCGCCAACTATCACCCTGGCTTGGGGCTGCCCTATGAACAGTCCTCGCCTAGTAAGGCAATCTATACAATTGACAACCCGCCATATCATGTACAACTTTGTTACCAGACTTCACCTAAACTAATCGAATCAACCCACAGGGCAAGTTTGGTTGAAGCAATAAACCATGCAAAAACAATCTAGATAAATGGAATAAGAAGATAACAGTTTCAACTTGAAAAAGAGACGCAAAGCAACATGAAACAAGAAAGTTAAGAATAGCAATCCATCTCAAAGCAATGTAAGATAAAAAGCATTCAACTTATTTCTACTAGGATCCAACAGAAAATTATAACTCAACTTCATGACTTTCCAAGTCACCTAGGTTAGCAAAAATTTCATTCACTATGGTGTCTCATCCACCACCAGGACTCCTAGCAATGAAAGATTAGTTTGTGACCTGATTCATAAAACAAGCAAGTCTTCCTACACGCAATGCCCAAACATCTATCAAGCATGTTCAGCTGCATCCATGATTCATGTGGAGAAGATATATGTATTGTTAAGTTTAAAACGATTGGCCTTACCTTTAGCTAAAAAGTTGTCAAAGCTACTACACTAAACACTTCATGTAACTTTCAGGTTCGGGGAGACGATGGGATTTGAGAGGGTCTTTGTCATGCTACTCTTAGCATTTCCAGCAGCTTGTCCAACAGAGTTCTTAGCATTTGCCATCTCAGATGCCAAGATTGACTTCTTTACCTAGCAAAACCATGAACAGAAGATATAGAAAATAAAAGGAAGAGAAAAGGGAAAAAGTGAACATCATGAAATGAAAGTCTTCTGTTTCAAAACTGCTAAATTATAGGCCCCGCTTTATCTAACTTGCAATCAAAGATAACATTATTAATTTGAATCAGATGCAACAAAATATATAATTGAAAACTTACACACATGTGTAGGCATTTATGCTATCATAAGTATATATCAAGGCATATGCCTATTGGATGGGAAGATTTTGGGACAAAACTTACCGCCACAAGGCGCTCCTTGTGGATATCGTTTGTGACCTGCAAATTCACAACACATAACCAACAAAAAGAAACGGGTGGAAAGAAAAAGTTGCACCAAATAATGCCAGACCTCGACTCCAGAAGTCAAGTGAAAGTGCTTACTTGTTTTCTGTAGCTCTTAATCTCATCGCCACCGAACCCTGGTAGTGTCATATTCCAGTTTCTGTCTGCACAATATGCATAAAGAAAACTCAGGATTTAGCATTGGATGCTAATCAAATGACGATGCAAACCATGGATGGCTAATTCAGCAGAACTAACCAAGATGTAGAAGTATGTCTTTTGCTTCCAATGTATCCGACTTTCGATGCTTGGCCAAAGAGCAGCCAAATGTTGTGACCTGCTCAAAGGAAAAAAATACAAATAAATTTGGAATGGCTTTGCAAAAAGAACAAGAAAACAACTTGAACAAAATGAAGATCACTAAAAGGACATACAATAAAATACTCTAAGAGAAGAAAGTTCAGACCACTATAAAGAGGAAGATATTCTTTTAAAACCCAAGCTCCGGGTAACAAAACTACACTGAATCTATTAACATCAAACATTGTTGTTGAACAACTTAATGAATTTTGTTCTACAATGAAAGAAGAGAATCTTGAGCACTCAGGCAATGCACATGGCTTAAATAGATTCAGGCAACATCTTGAAGGCTTGAAATCAAATTCACTAATCATTTGCAATTCTTTCAATCTCCATATGGACTATTTTAATATTTTCTTTAAAACACAATTAGTTTCCTAATATGCAGATGAATTTGTTTAATGCCCTTCAAAAGAAATGAATTTTTGAGGCTTGTATGGCAAAACTCATTCATTCGATCAATCAACCAACAAAATATTTAGTGTTTTGGTTTTTCTTTAACCTTTTCTTCTCCTTCAAACAGAATAAGGTGAGGTTAGCTCCTATAAAGTAGTATTCAGTGTAGCAAAATTCAGTTTATGCATACGCATGCAGTCTGCAAAAAATTGGAACAAATCAAGATTACGATCAGACAAACTCATAAAGCAGAATAGTCCTAGAAGCATCCCCGATGCAAAAGCAAATATGCATAGACTCAAAAATCGATCAATATGTACACACACACACACACACATATATAGAGAGAGAGAGAGAGAAGAGGGAGGTGGTGAAGCAGTAATTTCAACTACTCACAGACACAACAAATTCATCTGCTATATCTGCTAGAATCTCTTCAACTTCAGGATCGAACTTCTCTGATGGACCAATCTGTCCAAGAAGCAAGAAAACTCATAAGGAAAGAAATTACAAAAAAACTGCAGATAAACTCTATATGATAACAAAACAACAACAAAAACAAAGCACAGTCTCAAACTAGCTGAGGTTAGCTCTACATGATAAGAAGAAATTGGAGTCGAGTTGAGAAGAGAAACCAAAGTTATTTTGATGCCTCTTTTAGACAAGGCATGAACTAGGCAATCTCTAGGTGAAAGATATCATACCGTATAACCACCACCCATAAATTCATCTACTGACACAAAACTCAAGTCATGGACTGTCTTGTATCATTTGAAGAATTTAAGCATTATATCCAAAATAGTTGTATTGAAACACATGAAGAAATTGCATGCTAAAAAGTAAATTTCAACAAGGCAACGCGATTATAATATTTAAACATCAGCACGATCCACATCATTAGCTAACACCAAGACAGCTAGTGAGAAGTGACACCATGGCTGTAGCGGAATCCGTGAGACCGCAACCACGATTTAAAACATTATTCCCTAAATTAATTTCAACATAAAATAAATCATTGGATGCTTTTTCTTAGTCAAAAACTTGTCCATGACTTGCATATCTTGTACTTCTATGTGATTCTGTTCACAACCACTAACAAAAAATAAAAAGTTCCCTTGCCACACTTGGCAAATTATTCTGGAGTAGCATGAATTTAAAGAATGACTGAAGGTCTTCTATTATGAATAACAAAAATGAAAAGGGTCATACTGAAATATATATATATATGAAACCTCGAGTTAAAGCATTTAAAATGGAACCTCATCCTTCCTTTGTCTTGGTATACATATTCATAAATTAAATTAACAATGATTCAATACAGATTTTTAAATTGAAGCATAATACTAAAAGGAGAAAGGAGTTGCACCTGACTAACTAGCTCATGAATGCTTCTTTTGCTAAGAATTCGGTTACCAGATTCATCACTTTCTGCATTAGCTATCCTATTCTGTGGCAATGGTTGCACTGTGTTAGGATGTGACATTGCTACGGAAGATGGCTTATGATTTACTGGACCTTGAACCCTTGAAACCTGTTGCAGAGGGGATAAGGACTGTTGGACTCTTGATGGTGGAAATTGCTGGCCATAATGCTCTGGTTGTTGATGGGATTGTAAAGGTTGCTGTGGCTGTGCAGATGACATGTGCTGTTGCTGTGAAGTTGTTGGTAGGGAATGATGCTGTGGTGGAATATGTGACCTTTGTTGCAATGACGGAGAGTTCATCTGAGGTCTATATGAAGGGGAAGGCAATGGAGGCTTCCCTTGAGATGCAGATGACAACCACGGCTGATTGGGGGACTGCAAACTTTGTGATGTGTTTGGCACAGGTGAACCTGCAGTACCTACTGGTGGGGGTCTTATAAAGACATGCCCTTGGAAATTCTGCAAAAAGTAGACAAGTTAGCAAAAAAAACTGACAGGAGGAAAACCTAATTTCAACAGAAACTATCCAGCAAAGCACAGAGAAGCACAAGTTACATTGTCACAGGAACATGGAATCAACAAATAGACATCCTGTATCACCATCATGAGCCAATTGAACCAATACAAGAAACGCTAATCCGAAAAAGATCTCAAGAACTTTACACAGCATATAACTTCTAAGTGGTAAATACAGTTTTCATCATAATTACAAGCAACTTCGCAATCTCTGCCTCAAATCAGAGCCAACATGAAGCGTACATAAGAAATAGCTACAGCGAAGATAAAAATAATTCACAGTAGTAATTCCAAAACTAAGAAGATAAAAATAATTCACAGTAGTAATTCCAAAACTAAGGGCTACCCATATTTATCCAGCCATGGTGCTGCCCGGTATCGTAGACACAATTCCTTCACAAAATTCCCGGGTTAAATTATTTAAATATGGTTCAAAGGACGGGACTTGTTGTATGTACGCATAATAGAGGAATCAACTAATGCATGAATTCAGATGGTCAACTTATTTGAAAAGGTTGCGACAATTAATTAACATAATACCACAACGTCTCCCTCAATTTTTGAAGTCTTTTTTCAACATTTTTGAGATTAAAAGCAATCATACTTTAACCAGTACTCTTCTTTCACTTGCTAATATTTGCTATCAAATTTTCATCCACCAAACCAACAACAAATGGGATTTGGAGAGCCTGTACTAACTTGGGTAGTAGAGGACTGGTTATTAAGGGAAGAAGGGGTTGGTCGAAGAGGTGATTGAGCAGGCCTCTGTTGATGTGGTCGCATTTGAGAATTCGAAGTCATTGATGCCATCATCCCTTGCCTGACCTGCACACCTCTCAAAAAACAACAAGAGTATGAGTAGAATAGCCACATCCATTATTTTCCTCTTACTGCTAGCAAAAATTTCTAAAACTCATGTTAAAGAAAATAAATAAATAAAATTCTCACCTGCGAATTGCCGGTGTTGGCTACGGATTCAGGCACGTTGACAGGAGCGCGGTTCAATCCAACATACTGGTGGCCAAAGGAAGAAGAAAAGGACGTAGGAGAAGGCGCGGGAACACCGAGGGCAACACCGCGTGGCGAAGAAACAGAAGGGGTTGCGGAGGAGGATGATATAGAAGGGCCTGAAGAAACAGACGGGAATTGGGAGTGTGGATGGGGATGCGGATGCTGCCATGGCCTATGAACTGTCTGAGGCCTTGTGCTGCTGGGGGTGGTGATTGTTGTTGTTGCTGCTGATAAGGAAGGTTTTGGGAGCGGGTTGGGGTTAAGATTGGGGTTTGGAGTTGGGCCAGAAGAGGCAGCGGAGGAGGGTGGTTGTGGTGGTTCCGTAGGTTGTTTGGCGATGGTGGGATTGGAGGTGGAGGTAGAGGTGGCTGGGGTCGGTCGGTCCATGAAAAAGGATTGTGTTATCGGTGGATGGAAAATAGAAACGCCGGCCAGGATTCTCGGTATTTATTACACTGCTAGATTGGGCATTGGACGCATTCTCAATCGGTTCAGGATTTTGATTTCGAATTGGAATTCTTTCGGCTTTAGGGTGTGTTTGTACACAAGAATATGGATGTCTATTACCTATTATCTACAAAACTAAAGTACGGTTTGATTATCAAAAATAAAAAATTCAAAAATAAAAATACAAAAATCTGAATGAAAATTAAAAAAATAAAAATTACCTTTTCATCCTATTAAAAATTAATAATTTTTTTAATTGTGATAATAATAAAAAATAATAAAGATGATTGTACTAGTAGTGATGATAATAGAATAAAAAAGATGAAAAAAAATAATAAGATAACAATATAATAATAACAATAATATATTTATTTTCAAAAAACTGATACTACAACCATAGTAAGTGACCGTGGAAAATGAGTTGTGGTATAAGAAGAATGGTAATGAAATAACAATAATAATTTTTTTTATTACCACTATTAATGAAGATGGTAATGTTAGTGGTTGCAATGATTGTAAAAGTAATTAATAAACAATAACTATAAATAATATATCATTATTTTGAAAAAAAAATTCATATTTTTTTCTCATCTCTCACATCTATCTCTTCATTTTTATTTTCACTTCATTCTTTTTAACTAAACATCTACAAAATGAAATAAAACTTTCTTTTTTATTCTCTCACTCCATTCTCGATAACTAAACGGCATCTAAAAAAATAAAGAAAAATAACAGAATTGTTACTCGTTTGTTTTCTTTTTTATTCTCGCGATATTTTTGTAGTTTCCAAGTTATTTTCACTCATTATATATGCAATTTTTTTGTAATTGTTGGGCTTTGGTCTTTAAATTTTTTTTTTTTTTTTAGATATTTCTATTTCAATTTTTGAACTTCATTTGCATTAAAGTTTGGTCTCTAGTTGTTAGTTGTAAAGAAGAGAGAGAAATAATGACAGTGAAAGCAAAGCAAAAAGCCTCGACGAGGCTTATTCCGACTACTTTGACTCGTCGATTTTAACTTCAATATGTTTGTTTTAAAAAAAAATGTTTATAGTAGTTACAAGTTAAGGAATAATAGGAGGAGATAGATCAAGTTTTCAAAATATTTTGAGTTTGATTTAGATTTTATGTGTTTTGTGTGTATTAAAATGAGTTTTGAAATTTTAATTGAGTTTATTGACATTATTTCTATTATTTTGAGGTGTTTTTGAAAAAAAAAAAATTGAATTCGAGGATGTCCAAAAGTGGAAATCTGATTTTTTGGTGAATCGGGTTCATAGAAAATTATAGTCGAGCTACATGTCATTTGCTGTGAAGAAAGAAGGCAACATGTAGTCTGTTTTGTTTTTCTAATTTTTTAGAGAGAAAAAAAGATGGCCTACACGTTTCTAGTTCTCCAAGCCCATATGCCTGGCTCTCTAGGCACAAACGTGCAGGCATGTGCCCTAGCTTGGTCTATTATTATTATTATTTTTTTTTTTTTTTGCTTTTGCTTTTGCTTTTTTTTTTTTTCAGTTTTTTTTATTATGAATTTTCGAGCAACAATTATGAGAAATGGAACATTATTTTTGGTGTTTCTCACGCAATCTGGTGAGAAAGAAAGATATGTAATATGTTTTCTTATTTTAAAATGAACATATATTTTAGATTATATTATTTTTATTGTTTAAAATGTATTAATTCAATTTGTTATTTTTTATAGAAATCTTCATCTAATTAATTTTTTATATTTCATTCTTTATAGTTTTTTTTACTTGACAACTATGATTTATTTTTTCTATTTATGGATTTTGAATTAAAATTTTATAGCATTATTTTTTTTAACTTTTTAAAAAAAAAATTTATATTTTTTTATCATGAATTCTTATAGTTTTCAAATGATATAGCATGATTTATAGATATAATCTAAATTTTAAAAGTATATTTCAAATCATTTATATTAGATTTTCAAAAAAAAATATTTTGTAAAAAAAATAGTTAATTGATAATTAAAAGTCAACAGGACTTACATGATGCACATATGTATAGTTAGCAGACATATATGTCTAAACTTAACAAAATCACTCAAATAGAAAAAAAAATTATAATTGGTACACTCAAATAGTAATATTAAATTTATATATTCAAATTAAAAAAATGACAAATTTGTATACCAAATATATAATAAACATTTTTTTACTTGAATAACATTTAAAATTTAGTGTCAATCACATTAACATAAAATTAACAGAACTATTTAAATAAAAAAATAGTAACTATTATAAAAGAAATATAAATAATTGAAGAATTGAAGAGAAAGAAGATAAGAAAAGAATTCACTATAAAATAAAGTGAATGCAAATAATAAGAACTTCAAATTATTCTCTTAATCTTTCTAAAAACTTACACACCAACTAATAAACAATCAAGCCTATTTATAGCCTTCAAAATTGAGAAGAAAATTACAAAGGACTATGAATAATTAAAAGTACGTAAATTGTTAAATCAATTGTATCACCTTTGCAATATTTTATATTGAATAATGAATTGAATCACATTAAGAATTTGGATAATGGGAATATGAAAAGTATATGTATATTCATTATTTCATAACACTCCCTTTGAATGTCCATCATATAAGGAACATGCCTCGTTAAAACCTTACTAGGAAAAAATCCAGTGTAAAAACATCATAGTGAAGGAAAATGAGTACAATATTCCTTATATACATTAATCTCCATATTAGTCTCTCCCTATTGAAAACATTATTTAAGATCTTTAAATGACACATTCCAATCTTGTGAATCATCTTCTCAAAAGTTATAATACGTAATGCCTTAGTGAACAAATCTATTGGATTGTCACTTGACCAAATTTGTTAAATATTAATATCACCATTCCGTTGAAGATCATGTGTAAAAAATAATTTTTGTGATATATATTTCGTTCTATCACTTTTGATGTGTCCTTCCTTTAATTGAGCTATGCAAGCATTATTATCTTCATACAATATTGTTGGAATTCCTCACTAGTGGATAAATCGTATGTCTCTCGAATATGATAGGTCATTCATCTTAACCAAATGCATTCTTGACTTTGCCTCGGAAATTGCTAGTATTTATGCTTGGTTTAAAGAAGTGATAGCTATAATTTGCTTCATAGAACGCCATGATATAGTTGTATCCTTATATATAAATACATAACCAATTTAAGATCGAGCTTTATATGATTGGATAAATAACATGCATCCGCATAATCAATTAATCATATCTTTAATTTATTATAGTAATACAAGTCCATATCAATTGTTTATCGGAGATGATGTAGTATATGTTTAATTCCATTTCAATATCTCCGTATTGGAGCAGAACTATATCTTGTTAATAAATTTATAGAAAATGCTATATCATGTTGAGTATTATTAGCAAGATACATTAATGCACTAATTGCATTAAGGTATGGTACTTCAAGACTAAAAAGTTCTTTGTTATCTTCTCGAGATCGAAAATGATCCTTTTGTACATCAAGTGAACAAACTCGCCATTGGACTAGTCAATGGATGAGCCTTATCCATATAGAATCTTTGTAGTAACTTTTCTATATATGTTAACTAATGAATAAAAATTCTATCTTCTAAATGTTCGAACTATAGGTCGAGCTAAAATTTTATTTTTCCAAGATCTTTCATATTAAATTCTCTTTTGAAATGACACCTAGAGCCTCTTCATGAGTTCCAATTATATTTAAATCATCAACATATATAGCAATTATCACAAATCTCTTTTTGAATTTCTTTATAAATACACATGGACAGATTCGGTTATTTTTATAGCCTTCTTTTAACAAATAATCATTAAGATGATTATATCACATGCATCTAGATTGTTACAATCCATATACGGATCTTTGTAATTTAATTGAATATATCTCTCGGGAATGTATTTTACATGCTTCGGGCATTTTAAGTTCTTCCGGGACTTTCATATAGATATCATTATTAAGTAAACCGTATAAATAGGTTGTGATCACATCCACTAAATACATATGAAGTTTTTCATGTGTTGTCAAGCTAATAAGATAATGGAATGTAATTGCATCTATTACGGAAGAATATGTCTCCTCATAATCAATGATAGGTCTTTGCGAAAACCCTTGTACTACAAATCTTGTTTTGTATCTTACAAATTTATCCTTTTCATTTCATTTTCATACAAATACTCATTTGTATCCTACCGGCTTAATATCTTCGGGTGTTTTAATTATGGGTTTAAAAGCTGCTCATTTCATGAGAGACTTTAAGTTTTCTTGAATTTCATTTTTCCACATAGGCCAATCATCTCTATGTTGACATTTTTTAATAGATTTAGGCTTAAGATTCTTATTCAAAATATCAACTACGGTATTATATATAAAAATTTTATCAACAAATATTTCTTTTCGATCTTATTTTCTCCTTGTATTAACATAATTTATTGATTTTTATTAAGCATTTGGGCTTCTTCTGAAGCATGTTATCAAAAGCATATTGGATTATTTTATCTCGCCATCTTTATATTTTCATCTTGATTATTTCTTTTTTTTCTTTCGAGGGTTTTTATCTTTAGAACAATCAATCTTCCACGCTTTAGACGTGTTTTAAATCATTTTTTATAACATTAATAAGTTTTCCTATTGGGACATCGATTATATTAGGAGCATTTTCGGTAAGAACATGTGATTTAGTTACTCTCTTTGGATCGAGAGAATGTATTTGATAATTGGCTTGTAAGACCTTATAAATGAACTATCCTCTAAACTTCAAGTTCACATTTTTTTTGTATGAGGATCAAGATGATATAAAGATTAGGTATCTCATGTAATTTCTTTTTCCAACATTCCCAACTACTTGTTCCGTTTATTCTCTCCCTCTAACATTGGAAGAATTGTTTCATCAAAATAACGATCGATAAATTAAGTTGTGAAAGCATCTCCTATTAATGGTTCAAGATATTTAATTATAGAAGAAGATTCATATCCAACATATACTCTCAATCTCCTTTGAGGATCCATTTAAGTTCGTTGTAAAGGAGTAATTGAGACATATACTCGCACATCAAAAAATTCTCAAATGAGAAACATTAGGCTCATGACCAAAAACCAATTAAAAGGGAGATAATTTCGA